AGAAGTGTAATATCTTTAGAACTATACTTTTCCTACTATTCCCTATTACTAAGCCTACTAGTTTAATAAACTATAGGTCTAGCTCAAAGTAAGACTGGCCTATTTTGTCTAAAATAGAGCTAGAATAAGCCTGTATTTCTAAGGTAAAGGGGAAAACCCCTGGACCAGACTTAGTTACTTAAGAGATTATAGTTCATACTTATAAAGCTTCTCTAGATATCTTTTATAGGCTATACTCCTTATTTATTAATAAGGGATACTATCCTAAAGTCTGGAAATAAGCTACTGGCTTTATTCTAAAGAAATTAGGGAAACCAAACTATTTCCTACTCAAAGTATATCAAGTTATTTCCCTACTTAATTACTTAGGGAAGGTTTCTGAGAGAATACTAGCTAGGCGACTTAGCTATTTAGCCGAGACTAGTAACCTACTATATTACTCCCAAATAGGAGGTAGGCTCCACAAGTTAGCTATTAATACTGCTTTATTATTATAAAATAAAGTAGAATTAAATAAGTCCTATAAGCTGAAAACTAGTACTTTCTTCCTAGATATTAAAGGCGCCTTTAATCACGTATCCAAGAATAGGCTATTACAGATTATAATTAGTTTATTACTACCTACTAGCCTTATTCTATGGGTATTATTATTCCTAGATAACCGAGTATTACGACTAGCTTTTAATAATAGTATTAAAGTATTTAGGTCTATACTTACTAGTATTTTATAAGGTAGCCCTATATCCCCTATACTATTCCTTATCTATATCCGAGACTTATTTAAGTTAGTAAATATTAAATTCAGATCCTATTTAAATAATATATCCCTTACTACTACTTCTAAAAGTCTAAAGAAAAATATTAAGACTTTAGAAAAAGAAGTAAAGGATATAGTCAATTTAGGGAAAAAGAATACTATTAGCTTTAATATAGATAAAACAGAGCTTATTTATTTTAATAATTCCAAAAATAAGCCTAGTCTAAAATTACCTAATAGGGAACTAGTTTCCCCTAGTAAAGTAGTTAAATAGCTAGGAATCTATTTTAATAAAAATCTCAAATTTAAGAAACATATAGCCTATAGGGCTTCTAAAACAAAACAAGCCTTTTATAGGATATAGAGACTTACAAATATATTGCGTGGCTTATCTCCTTTTATAATTAGATAGCTATATTTAGCCTATATTACTAGTATAATAGACTATGGTTCTATACTATAGTAGAAGACTAAAAGCAAAGCTCAAATTCGGCCTTTATAGGCAATTCAAAACCTAGCCCTAAGGAAAACCCTAGGAATATTCAAAACTACTTCTATTATTCCTATAGAGGTCGAATTAGCTTTAGTTCCACCTATTATAAGACTAAACCATAGTCGACGTTAATATACCTTCCGTATTCTTAAACTAAGTTTAAAATACTTTATTAGACTAGAGTTCGAGAAGTTCTTCTAAAGATCCCGTAATTTAGAACTAGTAGAATCTAATATAGACTCTATTTATAGTCTAAATACTAATCTAAAGCGAAATCGCATGGCCAAAAAGTCTTAAATAGAAACTATAATAGACTCTATTAGTAATCTAATAGACCCTAAAGACCTAGAGACTATAAGACACTTTTATTTTGCCCCTTGGGATAGAGAAGTGCCTTATAAAATTACTATATTAAAAGAGCCAAAGGAAGAGACTACTATATTATATAACTTCTATCTAAAGACTTTATATAATAATAGCTCTATACTATCTATATATATAAATGGATCTTAAACTGAAAAAGGACTTGGAGTAGGCCTAGGGCTCGTAGTTTATAGTCACGAAACCCCTTATATTCCGGTCATAGCTAAATATAGAGAAAGCCAGAATATAGGAGCTAGTACTATAGTCTATAATAGAGAACTAGAAGGCATTACTAGGGCTATTAAGTACACTAGTAGTAAAGCAAAAAAAAAAAAGCTTTTTAATATCTTTATAAATAACCAAGCTAGTTTACTAAGATTAAAAACTTCTTCTAATAAGCCAGGACAAAGTTAATAGATTAGAGCTATACTAGCTACTAAGGCCCTTAAAGCTAAAGAAGCTAATATAGAACTAATCTGGGTTCCAGGGCATATAAATATAATAGGGAATAAAGAAGTAGACAAACTAGCTAAGCTAGGTACTACTTCTCCTATATTAGAACCTGAATTAGTAAAAACCTCCTTTGCTTTCCTAGGGATTAAAATTAATAAAGTTAAGAAACTAGAGTATAAACTACTTTTAGAATCTTATACTAAACCGAAAACCCAGCTAGAATCATATAGTAATATATATTCATAGAAAGTATCCAGAAAAATAAACCTACCTTTAGGAACTTTTAGGCCCCTAGCTAGTGCCTTCTTCTAGCTAAAGCTAGGCTACGGATATTTAAAGTCTTATTTATATAGGCTAAATATAATATCTAATAATAAATATAAATATAGAAAGACTAAGAATGCAAAATACCTCCTTTTATACTATATGCTATATAGGGAGAAATGACTTAGACTATTTAGTTTATTTAAAGGAAGCTTGGAAGCTAGTGCTTTTAACCTATAATTACTATTATATACGGAAATTAGGATATTAAATATACTAGTATTCTTAAAAGAAACTAGTATATATATAAGAAAATGGCATATTAAGCGAAGCGTGAAAGTAGAAGAAGTAGAAGAAGTAGAAGAAGTAGAAGAAGTAGAAGAAGTAGAAGAAGTAGGAGATAAAGGAGAGAATAAAGATGAAGAAGATGAAGAAAATGAAGAAGATGAAGAAGATGAAGAAGATGAAGAAGATGAAGAAGTCCCTAACTATTTACTACCCTATATTAGAATTTGGGCCTGCATATAAAGCTACTAAGACTCACGCTAGCTTAGCTAGCCGTACTATATAGTTCTAAACTAATTAAAAGAAAAAAAAAAAAAAAAAAAAATAGTCTTAACTAAATAACTAAGTTGCCTAGCTAGTATTCTTTTAGAAACCTTTCCTAGATAATTAAGTAAGGAAATAACTTAATATGCCTTAGATAAGAAATAGTTTAGTTTTCCTAGTTTCTTTAGAATAAAGCTAGTAGCTTATTTCCAGACTTTAGGGTAGTATCTCTTATTAATAAATAAGAAATATAGCCTATAAAAGATATCTAGAGAAGCTCTATAAGTATGGACTATAATCTCTTAAGTAACTAAGTCTAGTCCCGGGGTTTTCTCCTTTATCTTAGAAATATAGGCTTATTTTAGCTCTATTTTAGATAAAATAGGCCAGTTTTATTTTGAGCTAGGTATATAGTTTATTAAACTAGTAGGCTCGGTACTAGGGGATAGTAGGAAAAGTATAGTTCTAAAGATATTATACTTATCTTAGAAAGTTAATTTAAGCTTATTAGAATTACTATCTAAAATACTTAATATAGATTAATATATAGTATCTTTAGTATATTTTATAGCTTTAAAAATTAACTAGGAGTCTTTATTCTCTAAGAACTTATTCTAGTATACTAGCTTAGTACTTTTAATAGTATTAAAGTAGGTATTCTTTATATTTTAGAGTTCTTATTTATAGAGAATATACCCTAAAGCTTTAGACTTATGGCTATAATATAGTATTAATTTATATAAGATCTTTAAGTCCTTATTTTACTAGGGTTTAGAATACGGACTAGTAGTAGATTTTGGAATACTATTACTAGCTACTTCTACTATTCTATTAGTAAAGTCTTTTGCTAATAGGTCTAGTTTATGGTTTCTAGGTATATTAGTAAATAGAAAGGGCATATTCTTAAGGCTATTAATAAAGTAGCTTATAAATTTAGCCTAGTCTGCTTTCTTAGTATTAAATCTAACTGGATTAGAACTAGAGCTATAAGTCGACTTACTAATAGTAAATAGAACCCCGAAGTAATTAGAACCTAATTCTAGTAGTACCTGCTAGTTCTTAATCTTAGTTACTATTTTACTAGTAATAAAACTTAAGTCTAATATAAAAGAAATAGATATATTAGATCTATAAAAAGTATCTTTCCCTAGTTTATTTAATAGCCTTAGAGAATAGTTTTCTATATAGCTAATTAAATAAACTATATAATTACTTTGAGATTTAAGGGAATTCTACTAAGAATAATATATAATAAAATTACTTAGTAATAGAGAGCTATTATAAAAAGTAATAGATAAAATATCCTCTTTTAATATTATTAATATACTATTAGGGTTTTCTAAGTAAACTATATTATAGAAATTAATTAGTTATATTTTTAGTATACCTAGACTCAAGTCTATAATTAGGTAATTAGGATTACTTAGTAAGTTTAAGGCTATACTAGCTTGCAGTTCGCGAGCTATCTAAAATAGGGTTCTAGGCCTTAGGGTACTATAATTCGGGAGTATTTGGAAATAGCTAGAGTATATAATAGAATAATATTCCCGATTATTATTCCTTGCTATTATCCAAGGCTCCTGGATTACTAGGACTTTAATATCTAGTTCTATAGCTATTTACAAGACGTTTTTAGTAATAGAGCTATTATAACTCACATTAACTTATAGTACTTTAATATAGTTACTTATTAATAGTAATAGTAGGAATTATAATAATAATAGCTTTTTTAATTACTAAATAAACCTCATATAGCTTAGAACTAGCTAAGTGGGTAGTACTTAAGTAATTAGAGCATTTAGTAGTTATGTGGGGGTATTTTTTACTCTTCTTTTTATAAATAGAGCAAAAATAGTTCTCAGTCACGTGACCCTTATTATATAGTAAGTACTTAGGTTCCTTTTTATAAATAGAATCTAAGTACCTGTATCCTATATACTTAGTATACTATATAATACTAGAAATAATATAGTATTTTACTACTTTAGTAAAGATTCCGGCTATAAGAAGTCTATTTTTAATAGCTCTATTAGCTTGAATCTCGGTAGGAAATACCACTATTACTAAACCGGCTTACTAGAGGCCTGAGTCTCTTTTCTCCTTTAAAGTAGCCTAATAGGGCTAGCTAATAGGCTCTAGTCCCTTATTAAAGGTCTTAATTTCTTCTAGAACTAAGTTCATTTCTTCGGGTATATTAAATTCACGAATAGGTAGACCATAAATAATAACTTTATACTAAGGTTCTCCTTTTTATATGCTTATAACTAAGGGAAGCACCTCCTTTATAATAGCTTGATTTTGAACTAGAAAGTCAGAGTTGAATTCAGGAGTAGTATTAACTATAATATTACTTTTTAAGGAAAGAGAAATCATAGAAATTACTAGTCCCTTAATTCCCTTAGAGCAAAAAGCAGTATTAAGCGAATTGCGAGTAGAAATAGTAGAGAACAAGCTAGCCTGCTTTATATAAGCTAGTAGGAAGGTGTATTTCCTAGAGAGGGCTATAGATCTGGTATTATGAGTACTAGAACTACTAGTATCACGTGCACTGGGTGGTTTATTAGTATCACGAGTACTACCGCTACTAGTAAGTATACTAGGGCCTTTTCCTCCCTGATTTTTAGACTTAGTATGTAATACTAAAGTCTAGTCCTTTTCCGAGTAAGATTATGGTTCTTGAGTAGTAATTTTAGCCCAAGTAGGCTTTCCGGAGATAGTTTTAGCTTGAGTAGCTAGCTTGGCTTAAGTTCTTGACTAAATTTCGATCCGTTTAGTGGTATTTTCGAGGTTTACTACCTGTAAAGCTAGTAAAGTACTAGTATGGCGGATACGGCCGAATTCTGTATATTTCCTAAAGATTTCTACTAAATCTAGTAGTCGAGATTACTAATCATGTAACGGAGTAATAATAATAGCTTTGACTATTAAGTCCCGGGCTTAATAAATTAGTAATTTAGCTTTATTCGAAGCTTAATTCTAATATTAGTAGTAGTTTCCGTGGTTTTGGTATTTCTTATTAATATTACTATTAATATTGCTCGAGCTAGGGCCATGCTTTAGCCCGTTCTGGAGGCGGCTTAGTCGAGCCGCACTAGCCGAATTAGGCTAAGGAAAAGGGGCTGCGAGTTCGTCTAAAGAGATAGGATTTATAGCTAAATCGAATGCGAATTGAGCTCCCTGGTTGAACCGAGCTAGTGGGGAGCTAGTGGGTAGGTCTAGCTATTCGCTAGGGCCCTCTAGAAGCTCTCCGAGCTCTTAAAAGTCAATGGGAGGGGGGCTAGAGCCCGGGGGGTTAGGGGGGGCCATTTAGCCTATTCTAGCTCTACTTATAGTAGGTTCTAGAGCCTGGGGCCAAAGGGCTAAGGTGTATTAAGTGAGTTCTGAAGGTGGGTAAAGTGTAGATGTGAAAGTAAGGGGAGTAAAAAACCGGAAAAAAGATGTGACTATAGATATTTCTTAGAACTTTATAAAAGTATTACCTTGACTATAAAGTTTCTATTTTCCTTGTATTACTTACTATAAAATATATAAGAGGGAAACTATAATAAAACAAAAACCCATATAAAGTATACTAGAGTACAAAACATAACTAGATAATAAAATAATAAATTAAAAACATAAATAATAAAGCATAAATAGTATATAGTATATAAAAGCTTAATTAATTAAATATATATAAAGGATTATTTTCTAAGTCTATAGAAAAACTAGCTTTCTTATGTGATTTCCGCAAGTCACGTATAAAAGGCCGCGGCCTTTACTATATAACCTAAACTTTAAAACCGCCAAAATAACATGATTTTCGACGAGTATGGCCTGCCATACTATACTAGATAAGCTAATATAAGTCTCAGTAGCTTATATATAGGCCCAAATTCCAATATAGATAATAAATAGTTAGAGATATATTTCTGAAATAAAAACTTAAGGAAATAAAGAAAAAAAGAATATAAATTATAATTTCTTCTCTATTTCCTATTTCCCTTTTCTCTTTTTTCCTATTTTCTTTTTCCTATTTTCTTTCTTATTTCCTCTCCTATTTCTTCTTCTATTTCTACTTCTTCTATTTCTTCTACTTTTATACTTTGCTTAATATATTATTTTCTTATATATATACTAGTTTCTTTTAAAAATACTAGTATATTTAATATTCTAATTTCTATATATAATAGTAATTATAGGTTAAAAGTATTAGCTTCTAAGCTTCTTTTAAATACTATAGATTAAATAGTCTAAGTTATTTCTTCCTATATAATATATAATATAAAAGGAAATATTTTATATTCTTAGTCTTTTTATATTTATATTTATTATTAGATATTATATTTAGCCTATATAAATAGGACTTTAAATATCTATAGCCTAGCTTTAACTAGAAGAAGATATTAGCTAGGAGCCTAAATATTCCAGAAAATAGATTTATCTTTCTAAATACTTTTTATAGATATATATTATTATATAATTCTAGCTGGGTTTTCGGTTTAGTATAAGATTCTAAAAGTAGTCTATATTTTAGTTTCTTAATTTTATTAATTTTAATCTCTAGAAAAGTAAAAGAGGTTTTTACTAATTCAGGTTCTAATTAATATAAGAGAAATAAAACCTAGCTTAGCTAGTTTATCTATTTCTTTATTTCCTATTATATTTATATATCCTGAAACCCAGACTAGTTCTATATTAGCTCTTTTAGCTTTAAGGGCCTTAGTAGCTAATATAGCTCTAATTTATTAGCTTTGGTCTAGCTTATTAGAAGAAGTTTTTAATCTTAGTAAACCGGCTTAGTTATTTATATAAATATTAAAAAGCTCTCCTCTTTTTATTATACTATTAGTATATTTAATAATACTTATAATACCTTCTAGTTCTCTATTATAGACTATAGTACTAGTTCTTATATTTTGGCTTTTTCTATATTTAGCTATAACCGGTATATAAGGAGTTTCATAGCTATAGATTATAAGCCCTAGGCTTATTCCGAGTTCTTTTTTAGTTTAAAATTCATTTATATATATAGATAATATAGAGCTATTATTATATAAAGTCTTTAGATAGAAATTATATAATATAATAGTTTCTTTCTTTAGCTAGCTTAATATTATAATTTTATAAAATATTTCTTTATTCTAGAAAATAAAATAGAAGTATTTTATAGTTTCTAGATCTTTAGAATCTATTAAATTACTAAAAGAAATATCTCTTTTATAATAGCTTAATTTTAAATTAGAAAGTTAGAATTAAATTCGGGAATAGTATTAACTATAATATTACTTTTTAAGGAAAGAGAAGCTATAAAGACTACTAGTTTCTTAATTTCCTTAGAACGGAAAGTAATATTAAGTAAATTATAAATAGAAATAGTAAAGAATAAGCTAGTCTATTCTATATAAGCTAATAGGAAAGTACTTTTTCTAAAGAGGGCTATAAATTTCGAACTAGTATTATAAATACTAGAACTATTAGTATTATAGATACTAAGTAATTTATTAGTATTATAAGTATTACTATTATTAGTAAATATACTAGAGCCTTTTCTTTTCTTATTTTTGGATTTAGTATATAATATTATAATCTAGTTCTTTTCCGAATAAGATTATAATTCTTAAATAGTAATTTTAGCCCAAATAGGCTTTTCGGAAGTAGTTTTAGCCTTGAGTAGCTAATTTGGCTTGAGTTCTTAACTGAATTTTAATCTATTTAGTAATATTTTCGAGATTTACTATTTGAGAGACTAATAAAATACTAGTATATATCTTTTTTCGGTTTTTTTACCTCTCTTACTTTTATATTTATACTTTACCTACCTTTAGAACTCACTTAATATACCTTAGCCCTTTAGCCCCAGGCTCTAGAACCTACTATAAGTAGAGCTAGAATAGGCTAAATGGCCCCCCCTGACCCCCCGGGCTCTAGCCCTTTTTCCATTAACTTTTAAGAGCTCGGAGAGTTTCCAGAGGGCCCTAGCAAATAGCTAGACCTATCCACTAGCTCCCCACTAGCTTAGTTCAGCCAGGGAGCTCAATTTATATTCGATTTAGCTATAAATCCTATCTCTTTAGACAAACTCGCAGCCCCTTTTCCTTAGCCTAATTCGGCTAGTGCGGCTTAACTAAGCCGCCTCTAGAACAGGCTAAAGCATGGCCCTAGCTCGAGTAATATTAATAGTAATATTAATAAGAAATACTAAAACCACGGAAACTACTACTAATATTAGAATTAAGCTTTAAATAAAGCTAAATTACTAATTTATTAAGCCCGGGACTTAATAATTAAAGCTATTACTATTACTTTATTATATAATTAGTAATCTCGACTACTAGATTTAGTAGAAATCTTTAGAGAATATACTAAATTCGGCCGTATCTGTTATACTAGTACTTTACTAGCCTTCCAGATAGCGAATCTCGAAAATACTACTAAACGAATCGAAATTCAGTTAAGAACTTAAGCCAAACTAGTTACTCAAGCTAAAACTACCTCCGAAAAGCCTACTTGGGCTAAAATCGCTACTTAAGAACCACAAATATACTCGGAATTATACTCGGAAAAGAACTAGACTTTAGTATTATATACTAAGTCTAAAAATTAGGGAGGAAAAGGCCCTAGTATACTTACTAGTAGTAGTAGTACTCGTGGCACTAATAAATCACTTAGTACACGTAATACTAGTAGTTCTAGTACTTGTAATACCAGATCTATAGCTCTCTCTAGGAAATGTACCTTTCTACTAGCTTATATAAAGCAGGCTAGCTCGTTCTCTACTATTTCTACTTGTAATTCGCTTAATACTACTTTCCGCTCTAAAGAAATTAAGGAACTAGTAATCTCTATAATTTCTCTTTCCTTAAAGAGTAATATTATAGTTAATATTACTTCCGAATTTAACTCTAACTTTCTAGTTCAAAATCAAGCTATTATAAAAGAAGTACTTCCCTTAGTTATAAGTATATAAAAAGGAGAACCTTAGTATAAAGTTATTATTTATAATCTACCTATTTATAAGTTTAATATACCTAAAGGAATAGACTTAGTTCTAGAAGAAATTAAGACCTTTAATAAGGAACTAGAGCCTATTAGCTAGCCCTATTAGGCTACTTTAAAGGAGAAAAGAGACTTAGGCTTCTAGTAAGCCGGTTTAGTAGTAGTAGTATTTCCTACCGAGATTTAAGCTAATAGAGCTATTAAAAATAGACTTCTTATAGCCGGAATCTTTACTAAAGTAGTAAAATACTATATTATTTCTAGTATTATATAGTATACTAAGTATATAGGATACAGGTACTTAGATTCTATTTATAAAAAGGAACCTAAGTACTTACTATATAATAAGGGTCACGTGACTGAGAACTATTTTTGCTCTATCTGTAAGAAGAAGGGTAAAAAATGCCCCTATATGATTACTAAATACTCTAATTACTTAAGCACTGCCCACTTAGCTAGTTCTAAGCTATGTGAGGTTTATTTAGTAATTAAAAAAGCTACTACTATTATAATTCCTATTATTACTATTAATAAGTAGCTATATTAAAGTACTATAAGTTAATATAAATTATAATAACTCTATTACTAAAAACGTCTTATAAATAGCTATAGAACTAGATATTAAAGTCCTAGTAATTCAGGAGCCTTAGGTAATAGCAGGAAATAATAATCGGAAATAATATTTTATTATATACTCTAGCTATTTCTAAATACTCCCGAATTATAGTACCCTAAGGCCTAGAACCCTATTTTATATAGCTCGCAAACTGCAAGCTAGTATAGCCTCAAATTCACTAAATAATCCTAATTACTTAATTATAGACTTAAGTCTAGATATACTAAAAATACACGAATCTTTAATTACTCACTTTTTCTTCGGATTTTTATCCCCCCGGCTTTTACCC